CACTTTTACTGAAACATAGGGAAAGGGGGATTGACTTGACTGCCACTTACTTTGACTTAATTTATTACTTTGACCACGAGTGCTATAGTATTTGTAAACATTTTAACACTTGACATTGGCTAAATACACAAGCCGTGCGAAGTCATTTAGAAAAAAAAATCTAAAAAAAAGTTTACTAGAAAAAAATCCACGCGGACCAGACAGCAGACGGGACTCTAGCAAACTTTTCTTGAGATTTAAACATCTAGCAGTTAAATGCTTAAAAAATAAAAACACAAATATATTTTCTTTGTATATAAATATCATGCAGTGCAATTCTAAAATGTATACAAAACTGTGCATTTTACCTATTTAATATACACAAAAAAAAAGAGATTTTTTTTATTTAGCTTCATCAAAAAACCTTTAATTTATTTAAAATTTCAGGCCAAAAATGGCGGCACCGGAAACGAGAATCCTATTCGACTACAGAGAACCTGAGAACGTGCAATCGAAAGTACCAAGCGAGCAGAACTTACGAGAAAGTGTTGAAACCTCCGAGCTCGCCATCGCAAAACGCACCCTACACGACGGCGATAAGACCGACAATCCCGGCGACTACACCCTGACTCCAGTCGTGACAGTCACAAAAAATGAGGCAAGTTACACCAAGGGCAATATGAAATTGCAAAAAGTTTCTATAACGGAAAACGTGTCTATGGAATTCAAACATCTCTTCAAAACTACAGACAATCTAAAGGTACGCGGAGGGACAACTCTTACGACAACACAGAAAATTGAAATAAAACATGGTTAATATGAAACAAATCATTATTTTTTACGTACCTTTTTATTAAAACTATGCACGATTAAATACGATTCTTTCATTTATGAGAAAACTAGCTGTGCCCCGCGGTGTTACCCGCGGTTCATTAGGCATATTTTCCCGCAGTAAAATGCGTATGTGTTAGTCTAGGGGGTCAGCTAACTCCATACTAAATTTTATTAAAATCTCTCCAGCCATTTAGACGTGAAGAAGTAACAAACATATAATGCCATTCAAATTAGAATAGGAAAGCCGAAGACCTCCATCTGTAAAATGTCGCTTGAAAAGTACGGTTTGCAAAAAAATCTTGGAACCCTTTTTTAGCGCTCAGCTAATTCTAAAATAAAAAGCAAACTTTTGTAAACAAATAATAACAAATATTGATAATTAATATTGTTTGATATTTTTTTCCATTTATTGAGCTTTGGCTATGACTGGTTGATAACCTAAATCGTGAACCAAATGTCATTTTAAGAGCCCTTTTACAAAATTGCGCCGCTGCCGTACTGATCGGCGCGTAGGTAGATTTGCACTAGTAATATTGCATTTTACGGGTGATGTTTCGAGTCTTATAAAATAATTATTAATGAACTAATTATAAAAATATGTAAATAATGCTAGATTAGTTTTGTGAAAGTTTTTGATAGTCATTCTATTTAATTCAATATCAAAATACGGAGAAACCTGCAGTGTTTTTTGGAAAAACTCACGGAGGTTAGATGTTTTTTTTTGATAATTAATGAGATGGAAAATCAAAATTCTAATGCATTGTGTTACAACAAAAACATATATCTGATGTCGTAGTAATTAATTTGATCTGATTAATTGAACATCATTTAGAGATTCAGACGTTTGAAGCTGTGCATATTATCGTTTTTTCCGTAAACGAGCTGCGGTAGAACGATATTAGTAAATAAATTTTATTAAAAAATCTGATGTTTTTTTCTCATTTAATCTTAGCAAATAAGTTTTATTAGATTAAACTTTTTTTTGCTCACTCTACCTGTCTGGTTTGAATTGACAGCTATGGTGTCAAACTATGGCGCCCTGTCGGTCCTATTCTTAGTTGAATCGCATTCTACACACTCATACACTCACAAACCTTCGCCTTTATAATATTAGTGTGATAACTTTTATTTTCCGTTCTTAGTTTTTTTTTCATTATTTTATGTTCTACGGAGATTTCAATAAGAAAAAACCAAAACATGATTTCGTTCAAAAATACCTAGAAGCCATCCGAATATCAAAATTATTCATAAGCAGTAGATAAGAAACTTTAGCAACACTTTTGTAAGGAATCTCTGCAGCTTGCTGCTCGCAATGTAAAGTTGCTTCATAGGAAAATAAATAAGCAGTCTCAGTATACTCATAGCCATGGAGGTTAGAGAACAGGAGAACGATCGCCGTAGAAAAAAGACTCCCAGAAATATGAACAAAATGAGTGAGGCGCTGCGACCGCTAAATTGTCTCAATAAAAGCGGGCTTATTTGAAATGACCAATGCCGCGAAGAAAATTTGTACACTATTCAACTAACTTCGTCTACTTGTACTCATAAACAGCCAACTTCACAGATACTACTTACCGACGGCAGCGCGGCTGGTGGCTGAAATATGAACTATAAATTATACAAATTTTCAGGGACAGGCGGGCTAATGCTTTAGCACGTAACAATCGTTCTCCTTCTCTCTAACCTCCATGATCTCAGCAGTCGCAGTAGAACTTCGTTATAGCTATTTACCATTGAGCTTCGCCACTTAACAGCTCTCCCCCGCGCCGCAATAGACGTTTTACATCAAAATTACCTATGCTACCTTGACTCCATCCCATTATCTAAAATTGGTGGCGATAAACTTGGCATCCAAAGCAATGTCACGTTAATATTATCTACACAGTATTCTATCTTCACACAAACGGTCTGAAAGCGTGTGATACCTACGCCACTCGAGTTCGCGCGGCACCCGGTGGGCATCCAATCGCGAATGCGCCGCAGCCACGACCGAACGGTGTGAATTGTTTTTAAGCAGTTAGCCGTGCTTAAACGTTTGTATTGTGAACATTTGATTGAATTAAGTAGATACCTACATAATTTAATATTGATTAAAAGAGCAATAGTCGATATTGTGCTGTTTTTGGTTGCTTGAACTCTTCAATAATTAAACTTTTTATACGAATGCGTATTTATTGTACTATTTAATTTTAATAATAATGCTTTTCATACGTCTCAGTCGAGGCGTTAATATTTTTCTGTCTCAAATCTTTATTTTTTTTTCTATTAAATATTACACTTAAAAAACATGTATTTTATGTAACATTCCTAATTCATTCACAAAAATTTTTTTACATATAAATTAAAATATTTAAAATCTCAAAACTAGAAAGAAACTCAATTATGTGGATGAAATTAAAATACTGTAGGCGGGCAGCCCTACCGCGTGGATACGCCCCGCTCGGCCGTAGGCAGTTATTTCAAGGGCAGGGCCGAGTCACAATACTGTATAGATAATATTACCGTGGCAAAGTGGTGTCGCAACGTACCGTTAACGAATATTTGACCTTTCTCTTACATAGCCATATTTATCACATGTACTTGTGTTTGTGTGTATGATCACAATAAAATTATAATAATAACTTCAATAACATTGATACATTTAATATTTCACATAGTAATATAAAGAAATTTCTTAAACAAAAATTGAAAGACAACATTATTAAGTATAATACTTGTTCTATAATGTTTTTCTGGAACTAATAAGTTAAATTGTTGGCGCTGTAGGTCGTCTCTTATAATTTCACTGTAACCAGAGATCAATTATATTAAAATGTATGACTGTTTGTTGCCACAAATAAAGAGAAAGAAAAAAATGTATTAGGCGAATTTATGCTTTGAGTTAACAATCGATAAGGGGTTACCCAATAGCTTACAGTCAGCCCTTATCAGGTCCTCAGTCCACCTTGTTGGAACGCCCTCCTTCGATGAGTTTATCAGTACCATTCAAGAAGATTCTTACTTTTTGTGGCTGTCATATCACAATGTTACCTGTCCTCTGCCATTTAAGTTAGGCAATTCTCTAGGCTACGATTGAAATACGACTTTTATTCATCTATTTAGCAACATTGAGCTTCTATAAAAATCTCATTATGAAAAACCACGCACTGATTATGTAATTTAAGATTTCATCCCTGTTAATGAAAATGAACTTATATCATTATGTCATATAAAAATTTCGCAACAAATAAAAGTATAAAATACTATTGTGATCGAAAATTTTCTTTTTCCAAATTATTTTCCCATAACTTCAATTAACTTTATCAATGAAAAAGGTTTATGGCATTCCGCTGTGGTGACATCGTTTATTATAAACAGTCTCTTTCGGTGTGTGCCAAGATCCTCTAATGACTTTGCTATTTATAATCACGACAGTGAATCGAAGGTTAATGAGATATTTCATTTAAGATTTAACATCGAAGGCATCTTCTAGAACGGCAATGAATTCTGCTTCACTTCCCAATGCACCTGGATACATTAGATGCCCAGAAAGTAACAGACATGATGGCATTTTCGTATCAATAATAAATAATAATATTAAAAACTCTTTATTTTACACCACAGAAAATATAAAATATTGTACATAATAGCAGGATACAGTGTAAAAATGGGCGGTCTTATCACTATTAGCGATCTCTTCCAGACAACCTTAGGATGAAGAGGATAAGAAAGAAGCTGGAAAAACGATGATGTAATTAACTGCAATAATACGCTTAGATTAAAACAAAAAGGGTAGATACGGCACTAGCCTCACAAAAGTCATCCGCATGAATTGTGGTCCACGACCCTAATAAAAAGAAATATTGCTAATATTTTGTGTTTATATGATAAAACAATGCCTAAGTGTGTTTTTAAAAAGTGCTCAAATTGCTCAAGAACTAAAACTAAAACCCACGGCATCACTTTTCATTCGTAAAAGTACTATAAAATATATTTTTTCATAAACATTGCTGTTTGTTTTGAATCTTATTCGGTAGTGACGTCGAGTACTGGTCGCGTGATTGGTCGGTAGTGCAGTGACGCGGATCTCGCCGTCTCGTTCGCGCTGCCGTTGAACTTAACGTGCTGTTTCGTTCGGGTCGGTAATGCAGTGACGCGGATCTCGCCGTCCCGTTCGCGCTGCCGTGGGATCAGTTTTTGTTTGATGCAAGTATGAGCGTACCGTATCTACTCTTTTTGTTTTAATCTAAGATAATACGCGAAAAAATCTTTGCACAAACCGAGTATATAAAACAAATACACACATATGAATACATACAGAAATACATAGATATACATACATACACTCATACATACATAGGCAAATATATATATGTGTATACTTAAAAAAATATATAGATATACACATTAAGTAAGTCTAATTCGGTAATAAAATAAATAAATGTATGATAGGTACTTCAAAATCTACAAGTTTATTAAATGTCATCCCTCGGATCGAAGTCACAGCTAGTTTCCAAATACAATGAAGTACTTTATAAGCCCTCAGTGAAAACTCTAAGTATAGTGGCTTTATACTCGTATACTCCTCCGGCTTCATACGGATTAATATTGAAATTTCGTCTTCAGCAAATAATAGAAACGACAATTTAATTTGTTTTTTTTTTTCATGTAAATAATATATTTTTTAAGCTTTGGTGGACAAGTTTTAATTTTGGTGGCAGTGCATAACTTTGGATGTTAATTACTCAGCGATTATTGCTACGAAATTATTGATTCTCGAAGAAATGATTAAATATGCAATTATATACTCCATTTTATAGTATAGCTTTGTTTGTTTTTAAAAGCTTAATAAAAGGTTTTTGTCCAAAATCCGGCCCTGTGGCTCTCAACACAATTTTTATGGTAAAAAATTTTTCGGCATTTAGATGTAGACATAGTCATATTCTGTGCTACAAACCTATAATCAGATATTCGGATATATTTTAATAAAGACTCATATAAAAAGGACCCCACATATATATTTTTTTATTTAGATAGGCAAATGATTCTACCCCAAGGATATAAAATGTTAGTGAAGTCCGGACTCAAAGATAACTTGTGTAGCGGTTGTATCTGCCACACGAGCCAATATAACTATACCATCCTGCAAGCTGCTTCTGTACTCCTTCTTTGAATGACTCAGATTGTTAGGAAGGGAGAAACACGTGCATGGTCAGAGAACTGTAACTTTAGAAAGAAAAAAAGAAGAAAGAACACATTTATTGGTTACACAGCATAGGTGCATTAAAAACAAAACAGAATAGAATAAAACATAACGACAAATAAAAATAAAATCAAGAAAACTAAATTAAGGTGCTGCTGTGCAGTTTTTGGCCCCTCTGAGGCGTTGGCTCCTGTACGGACGCCCTCAGAGGGTGGGATGTCCGAGTAGCCCTGGCCGCTCGGACCCCCCACGAATGCGGTTGCCGCGTTCCCCCCTCTTCTCCCAGGAGAAGGGACGAGGAGACGTAGGCGGCCGGGAGGGCGGAGAGGGACGGGAAGAACTACGCTTCCCCTCCAGCTCCCCCTCCCAGGAACGAAGCCCTCCGCAGCGGACGGGCTCTAGGCCGCGTACCCAGCGCCCATGCGCGGGCCTACCTGCGGACGTATGCGGTGTCCCTGCAGTCCCTCGGGAGACCCCTGCCGTGGAGCCCCGGCGAGGCCAGGCTGCCCAAGCTGCTAGGTGCGGGCATGCGGAGAAATCCCACCAAGGGGATCCCGCGGCTCTGCACCAGGCAGTGGTGAAGGTATTCGCAGGACTTTTTTAGCGGATATTATGCCGTAAAACGCCCGTAAGAGTTGCGGGGTCCCAGGTGGGCAGCCACCTGGGGGTACGTAAGACTTGCGGGAGCCATGTGTGAGGTCCGTTCGGCGGTGTGCCTTTTAAAGGCGCCGTCGTCTGTAGAAAGATTTTTACCTGCGTAACAATAAAAATAAAAAAAGGTGCTGCTGTGCAGGGCCAACAGGTCGCTGTCTCAACTATGCTACTGTGGTAGAACTTTCGCAATACCACAGCAGCACTGATTTTCAGTAAGCGCCTAGAGTGACGTCCGAAAGCCAAACAAAATGCGAGTGATTTTTACATATTTACTACTTTAAATACGAGACAAATACTTTACCACAAAATGTGTCACCGTTTTTCCAAAGGTACATTAGACCACACAATAAAATAACCTTTTTATATTTAAGGAGATAAAAAATGGCGTGTACGTCACCTTGAAACCGCCCGCGTACCCGGAGATACAAAGTGAAGTGCTACACTCCAAAGAGGCCATCAGAACGATGGATGACCACACCGACAACGACGCTAAGAAGACGAGGATACCCAAGCTGAGGTTCCGGCAAGCAGCTTACAGAGTGAAGCAAGAAAGGAGATCCAGTGAAGGGGAAAAAGTGGTAAGAATCATTTTTAAATTTACATTCGCACAAGCTGCCTACGAAATTCTAATGATCAGTCAGATCAATGTCAGGACAAGCAAAGAAACTTAGTTAAAATTGTATTAATACGAAAATTTTCTGAAAAAGAGTCAATGTTAAAAAAAAAGTTTAAAAGTCGGTTCTTAAGTAGTTGATTTTCCCACAAACTTCACAAAAATTTCAATTAATAAAAACCTGGTAGACGACCGAAAGCAGTAACATCATACCTGCACTTTACGGAGTTATATAATTTTGGTATTTGTAATTCAATTGCAGTTTCTCCTTTGATTCCTATAGAGCATGATAAAACTATACTTCTGCCAAATAATTCACAAGTAGTCAATTCAAATACCCATATGAAGTGCTAGGATCAAAGTTATTATTTGTTTCTCTTAACTCGTGAGAGACAAACATAGCTTGTAAGCAGATAAAAATTTGATGGTTATAATCATACATTGTGTTTTAATTTCAAACGCAGTCATATCAACGACGGTCTTCAATACCAAAACTAAAAAAATCCACATCAATAGAAAGAGAGAACTCAGAGGAAAAAATACAACCAAAAGAGATTGCATCGGCGCCAATTGAAGACGAATTTGACAAAATATATGATGAAACAGTCACGTCCCCTGTTAGTATAGATGATAATATACTTAACACTGTAATAGATGACCCTGTTAAAATAGAGAATAGCTTCGAAGAAATAATACACGCTTACGATGAAAATGAGCAACCAGTTAACGTAGAAAAGCCGAAGCATTCGAAAATTCCAATGTTAAAGCGCAAAAGCGAACCCCAAGTTGAAGTACCAACAAACATTGAAAAAACAAGCGTAAACAACAATTCGGTTGGAAGACTTAAAGTTCAAGATGCAATAAATAAATATTCAAAAATTGACAATGAAGAACCTAAACCTAAATACAGAATACCAACGAGAACGGGTATACCCAAAATTTCTACTGAAAAACATGCTTTTGATGATAACAAAAATGAGAAAAAAGTAGAAGTCGCTAATGTCACTAATCTACCACTTCAACAAAATGAGGTAGACACACGCAATATTGACAATATTTATAATATATCATACAAGAATGTTGATATAATTGAGGAAAAAGCTCCTATTTACAATGAAACTATTGAATTGCTCCCTGCAAGTGAAATAACTCAAATAGAAATAAAATCTACGCAGCAAAATTCTCCTAATGATCTAGTTAAGATTGTACCGACTGAAAATTTTGAATCAACTACACAAAATCTTCTGAGTAACTCAGAATATTCAATTCAGCCTAGTGTCAAAGAAGAATATAATATATCAGACACATTGGATGAAAAAGCTGTTATTGACAATCACGAGAATAGCGATGACGATACACTACATGAGGTAAAAGAAGCAATCGTCATTGAAGAGGTTAATTTAAAGAGTGATGAACACGGCGACATTGTTTTAGATGATAACACTCCATCAATTAGAGGAAAAGTAAGCAAAATGATAAGACAACTTAGTTCCAATACAGAACATAAACAAGAAAATAAATTGATATTAGATGATAAAGTACCTAAACCTAAATCTGTTTTATCGAAGATAGCAATGTTTGAGGTAAGATTTTCTTTTATTGTTAAATATGTAATCACTTATTACTTTTGTCTTATAATGGCAACGTTTGACTATTGGTTTTTATTTTTGTTTCAGCATCCTAATGTTTCGAGCAATGTTCCCAAATCACTGAATAAATCATCAATAAAACCTGTTCCTAGATACACAGAAGAAGATTTTAATAAACCTTACATTGTAAATGGAACCCGGAAAACCACAAATAACACAGTGATGTACGAGGAAAATAACAATTTGGTGCACAATGTTACTACGGAAGAGGTAGATGTTTCTACTCTGACTATTATTGATGACATTCCAAAGGCTGAAGAGATCACTATTGAAGATCCACCTTCGCAACACGATGTCATATTAAAAGAAGATCCAATTGAAATAAATTCGAATAAGATAGAAGAAACAGAACTCGAAGCTGTTGATTCATACAGAATAGAGTATGCGAAACCTATGAACTATATCGAAAACGTGCCACTCAATAATGAACCCAGCGCTAATCAAATTAGGATTTTAAATAACAACGAAGACGTGGTTAACGTCAATTATAATGATGACAAAACTGAAAACAGTAACAAAGTACTAAATGAAAGCTACAGCGATATTGATATATTTAAAAATACTCCTAAAGATAACAACCAATTAAGTAATAGATATTTCGATAAAGGAACCGAAAAAACTGATTTCAAGAGGTCAAGATCTAGATCTGATGATAGCTCACGTGCACAAAGAATTAAGTCTGTGGCAGATTTGGACTTGGGAGACGCGGTCAAAGGCAAAGTTCACAATATGATAGTGCGAATGAATTCCGTTGAAATGCTAAATGTTGAAAAGAAGGAGGTAATCAGTGCGAAAGAGAGGCCCCGGAAGAAATCTGTGTCGGAGAAGATAGCTTTGTTCGAGGTGAGTAGTTTATTCCTAATAGAACACTGTTTGTATACTGTATGCAACTATATTAAATACCCTAGATACACCAACATGAACAAAATCGTGCCCGAAACCTGTCAAAAAAGTACATTGGACAATCCGCGTCGCTCCGTAAGATGATCGGGGAGTCAAAAACAATATAAGGCATTATTTAAACATTGAAAGTCACCTTTAATGCATACTGGACAAGGTCTTGATCAAAACGCATGCGTCAAAGAGTTATGACAGTTCGAAATGCAAGCTCGTAAAATTATACGACTTATTGCTATATGCGGAAGAATATAGACCTTATTTCTTTGACTCTACCCGCAATTCTGAATGCGCTGTTAGCAATGTAGAAAGTACGAACCACGAGGAAAAGAAACGGCTAATTACCGACCATGCATTTGAATATCGCAAATAATTTCTACTAAATCAGTTTATAGTAAGTATTAAAACAAAATTTGCTTCGAATGTGTTAAATTGACAATTATTGATTAAATACCTGTCGAAAAAATTACTCTTTACGTACTATAAGTATTCTTTACGAATTTTTTCACGGAGCTTTGCGGCAACTTGACTTTTCACCGCGCGTGACTGTGAACCAAGAAGTGCCCGAGTGGTGTTCAAGCACTTCTTGATTGGGACACATTTTGAGTGCACGTGGTGTATCTCGGTAGGTATTTAATAACGTTGGCACATACACACTTGCACGGTAATATTATCTATACAGTATTCTATCTTCATACAAACGGTCGGAAAGCGTGTCATACCTACGCCACTCGAGTTCGCGCGGCACCCGGTGGGCATCCAGTCGCGAATGCGCCGTAGCGACGACCGATCGGTGTGAATTGTTTTTAAGCAGTTAGCCGTGTTTAAACGTTTGTATTTTGAATATTTGATTGAACTAATAAGGTACCTACATAATTTAATATGGCAAAGAGCAATAGTCGATGTTGTGCTGGTTTTGGTTGCTAGAACTCTTCAATAATTAAACTTTTTATACGAATGCGTATTTATTATACTATTAAATTTAATAATAAAGCTTTACGTACGTCTCAGTCGAGGCATAAATATATTTTTATTAAATATTACACTTAAAATAACATGCAACACTTCCTAATTCATTCATTTTTCACAACATTTCTTTTACATATGAAATAAAATATTTACAATCACAAAACTACAAACTCAATTACGTAGATGAAATTAAGATACTGTAGGCGGGCAGCCCTACCGCGTGGATACGCCCCGCTTGGCCGTAGGCAGTTATTTCAAGGACAGGGCCGAGTCACAATACTGTATACATAATATTACCGTGACACTTGTCTACTTATTTTCACGTCACCACTAATTAATTTCTTACAAAAAGTCATTATACCAACGCTCATTTACAATTAATGAGTGCAGTATCAATTTGTGCCCTATTTAGGCTTGTCAAATGCCCGGGAAATCCGGGATTGTCCCGGAATTTTGAGTGTTGTCCCGTGTCCAGTAATTAGACCATATTATCCCGGAATTCAATAATGTGCTAGTATCGAAACAAAATAAACTAATAACGAATGACACCGCTAGCCTGCTTGATGTTTTAACTCTGGGGGTGATGGGAGGGTTTGATTTGATGCTTTATTTTTTTTTGGGGGGAGGGGTTAGGGATGGGCAAATGGAAAAAAATATCAATTTTTATCGTATCGATATTTTTCATACATATCTATATAAATCACGCAAAAAATATCGATATTTCGATATATCGATAATTGTTGCCCAATATGTAATTATTTGTAAAAATATACAAAGTATTCGAAATTTTAAAGCAAATACACATCTGGCTGTTTTGACATCAGTTTTATTATTTAAAAAAACAGGTTTATGTACCAGATACAATCAACACAACACTTTGCTAGTGTAATTACTGGGTATACGAGACCTAATAACTGTCGTCCCAATATGTGACAGGCGGAAGACAGTATCAGAGCAGTAAATAAGTAATTCTTGGTTACTGTTTGGTACTGCAGCTTTTCATACACTGTCATTTTTGTTTGTGTTTGAAGCAATGAAACTAAACGCATACAGCCTACTGCTACCTACTCTTTTTCTAAATTTAAGTAATCGGATTGTTCAAATACATGATGTCATTGTGATGCAAGAGCAGACAGCAGAACCTTAAAATATATCGATTTTGATATCTGAAAATAAATATCGAAAATCGATATATCGCGGGAAAAAATATCGCTGATTTATATCGATATTTTTCTGAAAAAATATCGATATTTTGATATATCGATATTTTTTAACCCAAGCCTAGGAGAGGTGCAAATGTCCCGGAATTGATAAGCCAGCATCTGGCAACCCTAGCCCTATTAGACATTTTTGAATTGCCAATAAATTTAAAAAAAAATAGACATTTTTGTGGAGTTTTTGGCGGGATTTCATCGAGTGCGGTTGGCGTCCTTATTTAATTATTCTTAAATTCGTTCATAGTGGATATTGTGAAATGAAATTGGTGTGATTTTGTGTTACAACCATCTGCGCAACTGAAGAATTAGTGGAATCTTTAAAATATACGCTACTCCAGTCAAGTGGACGTGAGAACTTTATTGTAGTGTTGACTACCTCACAGAAGCTAATCGAAAAAACCAACTCGATACATTTCGTGCCAAACACTCCAAGAAACAAAAGAATGAGTCAAACCGACATTCTAATGTAAATGAAAAATTAAGATAAGGATTTGTATTTATGTATACGACTGAAGGACTTGTATCCACGGTCATGAATAATTAAAAAAAATAGACATTTTTAGGCGGGTAATTTCATTTTTCTTTTTTCCTGTAACCACCTTATTTATAACCTGCCAGTTTAACGTAGTATTTACATTTCCGAATTTAATAAGTTAATTTTGTGCAGGATTTTTAAAATTTAAATTATTTTTGAGCTATTTGAACCTGGAACATTAATTTCTTAGTTTTTTTTTATTACATATTCAATATGTGTTCAATATTTCGTAAAGTTGTTATAGGTCTTGCGATCTATGTAAGTATATACATATAAATTCTTGAAAAATTCAACATTTTTTTATTCTTCTTTTTTCTGTTTGTACAAAATTAGAACTGCTCTCATATAAGGTTGCCCTGTGTTATTAGAATAGAATAGAATTAATTAATTCGTACACATAGGTACAATAGTGATGTTACAATAGAGGCGGGCTCATCCTAATAAATATAAAGTTATACACAATTATGATAAAACTGTGCTTCCAGGGCCCAAGAGGAGATCCGAACTTTTTTGTAGAAAAGGTATCGTTAATTTTTTTTTCTGGCGTTTCGCCGGCCGCTGCCCCTGCACGCTCGCTTCACTCGCTCGGCTCGCGCGTTATACCTAACCTAACCTAGTGTGAAGTATCACCAAATGGGCCCTGGAACTACAGTTTAGCCAAGTACTTTAAAAATAGATATTCCATTTACGAGTGCCTATTAGAAAGTTACTTACCAAGAAATCAATTGCTTGAATTTTAAAGCTCTCCGGACAACAATCATTATTCGGATTTAAAGTAGCTATGCATTATGTAAGTTTTGTCTGTCTGCTAACCCGAAATTTTTACTACGTTTTCACAAACTCATTCGTGCTTCAGAAATAACGTATAATTTTTGGATTTTTCTCATAAACATTGTCAATAGGATAATTAAAATGATTGGGTGCTTTTCTAAACTCTTTGCTACTAAGAATGCGAGATTTTCGAATAAAGTATTTCACAGCAAATAAATTTCGAAGATTTAGTTTTAAACTATGCAAGTATTATTTCCCTTTACTAGCACATAGCACAATATAGGAGCATAGAATGAGTAAAGTTATATTTTATGCATAAAAATCAATTCTTTAGTGATTAACATCAAATAAGGAATCAGTCGAGACCGTTTGTATGGAAAAAACATAGCGCGCCTCTCCTCTTAAACTATGGGGCGTTCTAAGAACTTAATTAAAAATCGTGAAAAGTTTCGGCACTGTGATAGAGAATTGCACAATGTTCTTTTTTTTAAATTCGTAATACCACGCGTGGAGCATAGAAAATTGTGGCTGTCTCATGAGTAAGCCTTTGACGCGGAAGGGATTTAAAAAGCGATGGTATGTTATTTTGATAGGACATGGTAAAGTTTTGTATGAGCGACTGCCCTGGCAATGTATAAATACTGTACTTAGTTATATTTAATAGTTAAGGCTGAATATTTATAATTTCTATGAAAAAAGGCTCAGGAACTTTTGATGAAGGCGCAATCCAATTGAAAATTATGAGAACTCCTACTAAGGTAATTGCGTCTAATAAGGGCCGGGTTTTTGGAAATCGAAATAAATCAATGTTTGGAAGTGTGATAATTAGTACGACGTCATGATCAACCAAACTGTTTTTATTTGAAAAGAAAACGTTGCACAAAAACAACACACGAATGACCATTTATTTACAAAAAAAGTTTTTTAAAAGCTTGTTTATGGTCCTTATTGAGTACTAGGGCTCGAATTAAGGTCCATGATTGAACTGCAAGATTTCAGACGTTGAGTATCAGAAAAAATAAATCTTTAGATAGCAACGGCTTTAAACTACTTTCAATTTCATGGCTTTCCAATATTAAAACGGTAATTCATATAATTTAGTATTGTGGCCCTTAAAAAGTCATACGAAATATATATAAGTTGTAACTTATATATTTTCTAGCTATAAATGAAACAAATTGAAGGTTTGTGCAAATTTTTATTAATTTAACGAAAGACAATCACTAAAAGTTACTAATGAGTTATTTTTTCAGTCTTAATCTTGGGACCTTATTAGGTATAACACTTATTTAATCATAGTGTGGACCTTATTAAGTGTTTCTAACAGGTAACACGGTAACCACTGAACTTAAAGGTTCAGTGTGTATATACTTATCCTTATTAAATATATTTTCTATTCAGTAATCAAAATAAACGTATATAAATGCCACTTGCTAGGCCAGGCTGCTTATTTACACTCATATAAGTCATTTATGTAACTGATCATGCCTATTTTAAAATATCGTAAACCAATAAGGGCCGGCCCTTATTTGTAGACAACAACTTGGACCTTCTTAGGCAATCACATGTGTCCTGAGAAAATGAAACAAAGGACATCGACGAAATCGGCCCTAGCATGCCCAAAAGAATGTCCTTCACTATTATTTTTCTATTATTTTTTTAACTTATTAGCAATTAATCATAGTAAACGGACAATCTGTTTAAAAAATAAAAGTTCTGTTACTAGATACTACAGTCTGTTCATCCAACTTGACACTCCTTTTTATTGAAAATACAGCATTAAAAATCAACTGATAACTGGATTCAATAGGTTTCAGTCTATAATAACGATTTATTTCAATAGTTTATTGGCTTCGTTAATATTTTATTATTAAATGGGTGATTCTGTTAAAAAGTTGTGCCAAGATTGTTTACCTTAGTAATGCAATATAGGCGACCATAGGTATTTATCAACATAAAAATAGAACTAGGTACCTTAGTTAATAATACTTATTACTAGTATTTATATTATATTTATGAAAAGATTATTTCTGAAATTATCTAAAGATAGTTTATACTCCCATCCCATGTAATATCTGTTTATTTTTATGAAAATCATAATGATAACCAGGTACATACCTAATTACCGATAGTAAACTATAGGAACAGGTAAATGGAAAGACTGAACATTTCATTTGAAAAGAAATCTATCATTACTTACTACAGGTAGGTATAGGTATCATAGGTGCCAACTGCATACTCATAAATCAATATAAATATAAGCATTTATTATTTTTATTATTAATTGCATTTTACGTTCATTTAATGCATATTATTTAAGTGCTTACATAGAGGTAAACACTAAATCTATTCAGAATATATAAAGTGTACATCTTTTATGATTAAGTATAATAATTATAACCTCAAAATCTAATACATTCTGTAGTAGGCCACGGTTCCTGAAGTTGTCCGTATCTCAACAAATGCTTATTTAGAGTTTATGAATGATTCCGAACACAACTAGCATTTTCTCATTGCTGAGCGTTCTAGGGCATTCAATGTATGGGGAACGAGCAATAAATAAGCAATAATTTTAGTAACTTATCCCGTCAATCCACGTTCTGAAAGTATTTTAACATTACTATTGCAAAATTATTACATAACACCGAGTTTTATTACTGAAACAAAGCAAAATTGGATCAGAATATTTTATTCGTTCAGTCACGTCGACTGCACCTGAGGTTACACACAGAGCCACTGCCAAAATGGCCGGCGCGGAGGCAATGAACGTCGGTGCGCTTTTATGATTGGTTACTGGGGAGGCGCTGCGCAAAATCAGTTTTGGTTTAAATATTAAGTGCGGGAAGTTTGAAAAGATGGACCTTATTTGGAACCGGCCCTTTTTAGGCGCACTTACCTTATGTCATTACCTTACTACAGTTGATAAAATATGTTGCCAATTATTTACAGAGTCATCAATTTCGCATTTTCTTAGAATCTTTCTTCCCATTTCTCTGATTAACTCTTAAAAAAAAAGTTTTTTTTAAAGCAAAAAAAAATACAAATAATTTGTTATCGTCGGCCTGACAGGAAATGTGTGAAGTTTTATTTAGTCCATTTGCAAAAATTAAAGGATCAATTATTATACAGCCTTGTCTCAAGCCTGTTCAGAATAGTAAAATCTTATTATTTTAGGCCTTCCGTGATTTGTTACAATATAAATTAGGGCAAATATGTCATACTTTGAAGGAGTTTCGAAATAATATTGTTTATTCAGATATACTTATACAAATATTTTTTGTGTACGTTCATTGTTCACTTATTTTGTAAAACGGAACATTTTACTTTTGAAACAGACACGAAGTAAATTTTTATTCTTTTATATATTTGATTATTTCACGAAAGTTGTACCAGAATAATAAACACGTAATAATTAATAAAAAAATATTTTAAAATTACGGGCTAGTGCGAAATATTTATACACGTTAAGGGCAGTTTCTTAGCCATGTCCTTTAGTACAACATTAAATCAATCAATCAATCATTTATTTGCAAATACAGGTGATACAAATGTATTAAATAATAATACATATTTCACCACAAGGCATGCAAAAGAAAACCAACAAATAGGTTCATCCATTTACAAAGATTTATCCTCTAAAAAATCCTTAATACTTATGATATGCGTTTTCAAGTAATATATTCTTTGATTTTGAACGAAATAAATAAATATAATAAATATTTCCAACACTCACACCAATTAGCCTAGCCCCAAAGTAAGCACTGTAAAGGCTTGTGTTATGGGATACTAGGGTAACGGATAGAATACATATATTGTACATATTATATAAGTATATTTATATGAAATACATATTAAACATCCATGACTGGAGTACAAATGCTCGTATTCATCACACAAACATCTGCCCCCACCGGGATTCGAACCCGGGACCTCTCGAGTCGGCGACACCATGAAACCCGGCGTATAAACCACTCGGCCACGGAGGTCGTCTATATTTAGAGCTTTCAGCTTTTCTAATTTCAAGGGGTATTTTATTATATACTTGAGGTGCCATTCAAAATTCAAAACCCGTTTGGATGTAACTATATTTTTTTTTATTTAATTATGACATTGGATGTGTTAATGTTGACAATAAGGTATTTAACTATTATAGAATCTTTAATAGAGATTTCAAAGCAGGGGTGTGGATAAAAGAATATTGGACTATTTAAAATCCAACCATTTAATCAAAATATCGTTTATATAAAACCAAATATTTATTCCCAATTCAATTATTTCGCAGAGCAAATTCTCCGTAGCACCTGTCGCGTCCGTAGCACACTCGAGTACAAGCGCTCGTACTACGAAGCCTCAACAGCATACGCCCGTAGCAGAACTACGGGACGAAGAGCTGCAAGCAAAAATTAAGGAGTTAAAATCTGCCAAGTTAACGTATGGACCGACTGAAGTTAATAAGACGGTGGTACTCGCCAACGGTGTGGAAATGCCAGCTTTGGCAATCGGCACAGCATTGGTAAATATAAAATCCTAAATTAAATCTAAAGAAAATATTGCTAGAAAAAATACACGTGGTCCAGGCAGCAGCCGGGCCTCGAACCCGCACCCTTCGCTATCCGGGCGTAAGCACTGACTGATTATGCTACCGCGGCTCAGATGGCTGTGTCAAATTCTTTGTAGCCTTTCTTTAGCTGCAAGGCAGCGCCATCTCTCCGCACTGTAGGTCAAATGAATACCTTCACAAATATTATACAAGACTGCAAACACAGCCTGGACCAACGGCTTAACGTGCCTTCCGAAGCACGGAGGAGCTCGAAATAGTAAATTTTTGGTCACCCATCCAATGACCGATCATTGCGAAAGTTGCTTAACTTCAACGACCGCAGCCGAACGCGCTAACCACTTGCGCCATCGAGCTCCATAAAAATTTATTTGAAAATATTAATACTTTATGACGAATCAATTCGACTTTGTAACTTCGGCCACTCGCCACATCAAACATTCTGCTGCAGAATATTTTGTTATTCTTCTCTTTTCAACTCGTAGATAATTTTTTTAATCCTTATGTACAGTACGTTAAGAACGTTTATAACACATTTGCTCGTAAAGCGTCTCTTATTGCACCAATTTCAATATCATAATCTATCACATTACACACGCGTGCGGTAATGTAAAGAAAAACGCACGGCTTATTATGTTCCGTCTAAAAACGAACGATACTTTTTTTAATCTTAGCAAAGAGTTTTTATGTCAGAAAGATAGCCAAAATTTTCTTCCCTTTCCTCCCCTCCCCCTCCGTGCTTCGGAAGGCATGTTAAGCCGTTGGTCTCGGCTGCATTTGCAGTCGTTAGCACCATCATGGCCCAATCTCCCTATTCCATCCATTCCATCTCATCGGGCTTCCCCCCTATGACCCAGCAGTGGGGACATTAATAGGCTGATGATGATGAAATTTTTATTATATTTGTTTCTTAGGTTTTCACGCACATCACTCATTAAATAAAACTAGTTTTTACGGGTTAATGCACGAAAACTTTTTGTTTGCATAATTTAACATAAGAAGGAGATAGAAAGCCTCTCTTGAGTTTGTTTCGCCGGTTCTTCTCAGGAAGGTTTTTCGCAATTTTGGAACCGGTGGTAGTTTACGATAGTTAGGGTCAAATAAATAAACTCAAAATTACAAACAAGAATTTTAAATAAAATACTTTATTAAGTAAATTAAATAATAAATTCCTACATAGACAATAAAACGTAAAAATCGAACAATGAAATAACCAAACGCTCAATAAAAGTCTTTCGAAGGTAGCTCGACAAATTAAATAAAAGTTTTATTCTGACGACGTAGCCTGCAAAAGCTACGAAACGTCAGTAAATAAATAAAGTTTTCGTGCATTAACCCGTAGAATTTTTTATTATTATTTCTGTGTGGGTATCTGGGATTTTGCTGCAGAGGGAATTAAATGTACAGCCCGCCTGACGGTAAGTGGCCACCATATATGGCCACCACGCCTTATACGCTTGCGATGCGATTTAGAAAATGATCTCTCGTGATTGACTAATGTTTATGGAGTCAGTAAAAAGTGGATATTCATCATTCTGTTGTGTATCTCAGTAAAAATAACCAAATCCAAAACTCCATTTTCAAATTGCCGCGAAAACGTTTCTCTGGACAATATGGCGTCTTACTAGTGTGTGACGTCACACGACTGTTATTAAAACGTCAAACGATACAATGTAATGTCACTTTAACCGGAAGTATACTTGCGTGTGACGTAATTTTAGGCTCCGCCAATCCCAAGCGTTTTGGGTCACGTGACAATAGATAAGAAAACTACTTATCTTTTTCGTGGGTTTTTAGTAAAATTAAAAATATGTTTTTTGTAAAAATAGTAAAAACCCCTCCCAATATTTATTCTAAACATAGATGCTAACAATGGCACTTTATTTTTAATACTGTCAAATACCCAATTCGGGAACCCGAAGCAATATTTACCCTGAAATAAGGGCTGGAAGACGGTATCGGGTAAACAAAAAGAAATCTTACCCAAATACGGGCGTCGACTCCCTTCATTTACTCTAAGTCGTTTACCCGAAATCCATAGGCACCAAGTGCAATAGCGCCATTACAGCGCCTACTTTGAGCTAGGCTAATGAGGGCTATTGCGTATGAATCCGCCGCTAGAGGCGCTAGTGTAGCGTGAGGTCTCCGAAATGTCAAATGTTATTGCTTGTTGGTTGTCTACGCGGCTTTATTTCTTATTAAAATAATGTTGTTAATAATTAGTAACAATTCGGCTTAATTATGGCAATGGTATGAGTTATGTGGCAATGAATGTCAGTTATTAAAAATTTGAGCTTAGAAAAATGATTATGTTCCCATTTTTTCCGAATAAAACGGAACTGGGCGTCACTGTGGCATGGCCTATTATGTTTAGGATATGGTTCTTTTGTGTTAAAATACGATCTAAATGTAACCTTTGATTTCATGTGCGTATTAATAAACTTTAAAAGTTACAATTTAGGACCTCACTCAACAGTGGCGCCATCTGGTGAGACAGAAAACGGAAGCCCTCATTGGTGTGTGGTGTGTGGACCATATATGGCCACCACGCCATAAACGCTTGCGATACCAAAACTAACATTCGCACCGTGATGATATAATCTAATGCAGTTTTAATAGTATCATGGGTTTTATTATTAACTAGCTGACCCAGCGAACTTTGTATCGCCATAAAAATATGGGTGGTAGAGGGGTGAAAATTAAGGGTTGTTTGTGTTTTTAATATTACGATATATATTTAACGTAGTTTCTTTTTCTTCAGACGATTTAATAATTATTTTGAACACAAAATCGGTTATTCTGATTCAAACATGATAGCTAGATACATTTTCTCGCGGACTTTTTTGTAGGTCTTAATGGGATATACGAACCCGTAGTACATCATTTTGTTCTATTGTCAATAGTTTTTGCAGCGCACGCAAAATAAGGTTTTCGGTCTTACACCTTGTGTTACAAAATAGCAATTTTATTACGGATCCCTAATTTTGAAAAAAAATATAGCCTATAGCCTACCTCGATATAGATTCGGGATTCGGTGCGAAACACCGGAGTGATAAGACGTGTCCACGCAGTTTGCAAAAGAAAAACCAGTGATATAGACCTCTGCCATACGGGTTTTACATGTTGTTATCGTGTCTAGTGTCGCTGGACTAACGCGAGCCTTACAACCACCCAACAAGACCCCTCGCTTATGGACGGAAACACGGCTCATCGGTGTCTCGCACGACTGGTTATTGGATGTGTATTGTGCTTCATACTTACTTATCTGTGATTAACGCTCAGCGAATTTAGAAACTATCATCAATGACATAAGGTATTTATTCTAAAGGTGCATTAAAATATCAAGTGGTGAAGAATAGAATCAGCTGACTACCGCTTATAAAAATATAAATATTTTTCTTAAAACCAAACAATTTATCTCAGCATTTTATCTAATTATACGAAGGCGGGCTAAGTGACAGAACAATTAATAAGAAGAATAACTTTTACCTGTTAACACAACCAGTTTAATCATGCCGAGAGTAGAAAGATCTCCACCAAAAACACCAACTGGATTAACACACTCCAAGTCGGACTCAAGTATGACTTTGCACTGGAGTGCAAAGTGTACTGGATACAACAGTGTCGAGTGTGGAAAATACTAACCCGAGTTCGCGTAATAAGCGATCAAGAAGTGAGACCTCTCCCATAAATGAACTCAAGGAATTTAAACGCGAATTTAAGGAAGAAATAAAAGAAATGCTTATGTCTTGGAATGCCGCTCATAGTAATTCTATATCGGAAATGATGGAACAACAAAGTATTCTATTGAATAAAATTACTTCCGAATTAAGTAACCTAAAAACACAGAATGCTCAGTTACAAAAATGTTTCAGTGAGGTTGAACAATCGATGGGATTTATTAATCATCAGTACGAAGACGTCAGCAGCAAGGTGATTTTATTGGAAAAGGAACGTTCGGAATTAAAAGACTATGTAATAAACCTTGAAAGTAAAATCAAAGACTTACAATATAAATCTCGGAGTGCCTGTATTGAAATAAGAAATGTACCGATTAAAGATAAGGAAACGCACGAGGATCTGGTGTCTATTGTTACTAAAATAGGCACAATCATTGGTACTGATATTACTCCAACCGAGATTAGGGATATTCATCGCCTTCCAGCTAAGCCAGGCGCTGCTAAACCAATACTCGCCGAGTTCACCCATCTACAAACTAAAAATATTTTCCTATCTTCTTGCAAAACATATAATAGAAAACAATCTACTACGAGCAAATTAAATACTGACCTGTTGGAACTAGCATGCACTCGCACTCCTGTGTATGTGGCGGAATATCTTCCTCTACAGACCAAGAAATTATTGTTTAGAGCTCGTGAATTTGCGGCCGCCAATAACTTTGAGTTTTGTTGGACATCTAATGGCAACATATATCTAAGGAAGGAGGCAGGTGCAAAGACTGTATATGTTAAGTCTGAACAAACCCTTAATGATTTAATTATAAAGGAATGACTAATCCTAATATTTTTCTATAGTTATTGTAATGTTTTTCTTGCTAGCATAAAAATAAATATTTACCTAATTACTATTTCTCTTAAAAACTACAAACAGATTATCATTTATTCGCACACAACACACCATAAACATTCTTCATCTTACACTTACATCATTATGGTGGTATATACAGTAACAATACAACAAACAACTGTAAAACAAAACACGTTTCACTGTAGCCACTTATTTTTTTCATTTTTTTATATCTGTATTATATTTCGAATATACGTGTATACATATATTTTACCATTTAAAATAAATGCAATATTAATAAAACTAAAACTTACATTATTATACTACATATATACAAATGAGCATATTAAAAAAATGTTGTCGATACTTGTCAAATACATAAGACTAGGGTATGATACAATACATACCTCCCGTGTCAATATTGTCCC